TAGAATAAGAATAAGGAATGCCAAATGCAGCCTTAGCCTAATTGATTGCAGTCTTGCAAAGTCAACAAGAGTTTTGGCTTCCATATATAGTATTTAGTAAAATATTATATGAATGATAAATTCAATTAAAATAGGAAAACATGTAAAAAGATTAAAATGCTACTTCCATTTCTTTATTGCTTACTAAGTAATTCATCAACAAAAAAAAAAAACTCTTTCTCTTTTTTCCTAAAGATTGCAAAATTATTATTAATTATAGGAAAATGAATTGGTAAGGAAAATATCAAAACTTATAGCAAAATTGCATCTAAACCGTTCGTCATCATGTCAATGTAGACCTGATTTTCAACCACCGTGGATGGTCACATGAATCACAAGAAAAAAAAAAAAAAAGGTGGTTTGGTTTGGCCAATTTAAATGTAAAATGACTTTTTTTTTTTAATTTTCTCAGGTTTGATGCTTTCCCAAAAAGTAGATATCCCCAACCTTCGTTTTCTCTAATTTATAGAAGCCCCTCTTAAAAAAGGCATCTCTCCCATTCATAAAAAAGGCATGGATTAAGGTGTAAATCATGCTATTTGGAATAATACCCCAAGATTTCATCAATTGTAATTTGGGAGAGGTCGATGACTTGATGTAATGGGTGGAGATGGTGATTTCTGATCAAGGATGAGATAGGCAATATGTTGATGAGATGGACTGAGGAAGATAAGACAGGTTTTGATTGAAACCTGAGAACTTAGATGGGTTGCAGAGAAGAGAAGATGGCCAGTTTTGTGGTATTAGAGACGCTAGGCATGGACGGTGGCCCAACAACGGTCGACGGGCTGTTCTCTTCGGTTCCTTTTCTACTCGCTCCTTAAACAGAAATGAACAGTAAAAATGGTTGCTTATTATGCCATTTACCAATTGTAATATCTATGGAAATAGCAGAGGGGCCCTGCTTCGCAGGGGTTGGAATGGAACTGTGGATCCGTTGATCTGTTGATCTAGTTTTTGGTTAAAAGTTATTGAATCGGTTAATGATTCATTGACCTGAGTGGTCGAATTGTCGATCCGTTGAGCCGTTCAATGGTTTTTAGCCGTTTTTTATTTTTTTAATTGAGAACCATTCAGGCAACCGGTTTCATTTTATCCTAATCTCGGTCCTTAGCAAAAAATCGTTGAATCGGTCAATGATTCATTGACCCAAGCGGTCAAACCATTGACCCATTCAATGGTTTTTGGTTGTTTTTTATTTTTTTAATTTTTGTTATCAAAACAGGCCATCCATTCGAACCGAGCAGTCAAACCATTGACCCGAAAACCGATGGCCAAAACAGTTCCATTTTCAGGTCATATGAGTCACACGCTCGAATGACATAACACGTATGGTATTGCTTAATGGACCTCACACACTCAATTTTTTACCTATAATTTTTGTTGTTAGAACGGATCGTCCGTTTTTTTTTTTTTAATTAGGAACCATCCAAGCAACCAATTCCGTTTTACCCCAATCCCGGTCCTTTTTTGGCCATTTTTTATTTTTTAATTTTTGTTGTCAGAACGGGTCGTCCATTCGAACTGAACGGTCAAACCATCAACTCGAAAACCGGTGGCCAGAATAATTCCATTTTTAGGTTGTATGAGTCGCACGCTCGAATGACATAACACATATGATACTGCTTAGTGGACCTCACACACTCAATTTTTTGCCTGTAATTTTTGTTGTCAGAATGGGTTGTCCTTTCAAACCGGATGATCGAACCGTCAACCCAAAAACGGTGGCCAGAATGGTTCCGTAATTTTTTGCTTGTAACTTTTTGTTGTCAGAACAGGTCATCCGTTCGAACCGAACAATCAAACCGTCGACCCAAAAATTGGTGGCCATAACGGTTCCGTTTTTGGGTCGTATGAGTCACACGCTTGAATGACATAACACGTATGATACTACTTAATGAACATCACAAACTCAATTTTTTGCCTATAATTTTTGTTGTTAGAACGGATCGTTTGTTCAAACTGGATGATCGAACCGTCGACCCAAAAACTGGTGGCTAGAATGGTTCCATAATTTTTTGCTTGTAATTTTTGTTGTGAGAACGAACCATCCGTTCGAATCGGACGGTCGAACCATCGGTTGTCAAAACCTTATTAACAACATTTATCAATAATAGTAAGTAATTATACTATTTAATTAAATATTTATTAATGATAATTTTAATAATATTATTTAGTTATTTTTAATATAACAATAAATATTAAATTTATGAATAGGATTTATTAACAATATTCATTAAAATAATAATTACCAAAATTAAATTAAATTAATAGTATTTATTAGTAATAGTCAGTAATTATAATATTTTATTAAATAATCAATAACAATACTTTTAATAACATTTTTAATTTTTTTAATATAACAATAATTACTAAATTTGTTAACAGTATTTATAATTTTAATTTAAAGTAAAATTAAAATAAATATCTATTTATTAACAATATTTATAATAACAGTAATTATTAATTATAATCACTAATTATATATTTATTAAATTAATGTAATAATTAGTAATTTATTAACAATATTTTTTGATAGCAGTATTTATAATTTTAAAGTAAATATCTAGTTATTAACAATATTTATAATAACAATAATTATTAATTATAATAACTAAATATATATTTTTTAAATTACTGTAATAAATCAGTAATTATTAAAATAAATAGATGTATTTATTAAATTACTCTAATAATCAATAAATACTGTTATTTATATGGCAATAATTAAAGGATTTGGATTGCTCTCACGTGGAAATCTACTCGCACGAGTAGATTCCATTTCCTGCATGGAGAGAGCACCTATATGTAAGATATTTTGCGCTGAATTTCAATTAGGTTTGCATAATGCCCTCATATTCGATTTTGAAAAAGCAGAAACAGAATATTATAATAGCAAATGTTTCTATATGCAAGATATTTAAAAGTTACTAATGATTGTCAATTGGCAAAAAGCTTAAAGTTGAGTACACATCTCCGCCCCAAACGTCCCACAGCACATCCCGCTGTGTATTTGGAATATCTCCCGATGATAATACCAGAACCGATGATATCATTGTCGAGAGATGTTTCTAATACACGACAGAGATGTGCTGTGGAACGTTGTGGGACTGCCCCTTGTGGGGCGGAGGTGTGAACTCCCTAAAGTTATGGTCTTCAAAAATTTGCATATACCTTAGAGATTGGACTCAAAATGGTAAAGCGTGGGTTGGGTTCCAGCTAGGCTTTGCCTCTTTATAAATAAAAAAATGACTAGGCTTGAGCCTGAGCCTGGCCCTATATAAAGACCAAAGTTTGACATGTATTTTATAATTATTAATAATATATTATATATTATTCTATATTATAATATATAAAATTTTTTGCTATTAATTTTATTATTATATAATATATATATATATATCATATTTTTATGATATATAATATTATCGGACTGAGCTTATAGAAAGACAAAGGCTGATCCAAAAAATAATCAGACCTGATATTTAAAACCCAAGACTGAAGCTGTAAGCTTAAAAACTTGAGTCTTTTATTAGAACAGCCCCTATAGTTTCACAGATTTACTTCAACCTATCATATAGTTTGTATTTTATTAAAACGCTCCTTATACTTTGTAACTTATTTACATAATCAACCTTTCATTAAGAACTATTTGTTTTGTCATATGAAAATAGTAACATGATCACCTAGTATGTGTTTGGTTTTGTTTACGTTTTTTTCATTCAACGTTTGTACTTTATTTGCTTACAAAACCGAGAAAGGTAATAATTACAACCGTTTATGACAAACTAAGCACCACTAGGCTCCACATTAGCGTAACAGTGAAAAAACGCTTGACCATTTGTGAAAGCTTTAAAAAATAACTTCCACAAACAATTGGCATGCACAAAAAACGAAGCCCACTTTTGTCATTCTCGATGCATACAAAAGAAAAACAGAGAGAAATTGCTGAAGTAACACCTATAGGGCAGCGTTTATTGTATAAACGCTCACGGAACCAAACACCCTATTAAACTAAGTGGAAAATGTTTAAGGGCATTGGCCCATGGTTGTTTATTCCAAAAGTACCCCTAAATTGAGTGAAAAATGTTGGATCCATGGTTGTTTATTACTAAAGTACCTTAACACTTTTTTGTATAGAAAATAAAGTTGACCAAATAGAGAAAAATGGAGTGGTTGTTTGTGTTTTACAAGGAGAAAAATGGTATTTTTGTTTTTAGTTTCTTTTTTATTAAATTTATTTGAATGGATTTTAGTGTTAAAACTATATTTTCACTTTCATTTCATTGTAGGTCAATTAAGTAAATTGATTGCAAACTATAGAAGATGTTTTAGTAATACATAAATTATAGAATATGTTTTAGTAAATTCATGAAATTATAGGGAGTGTTCTAGTAAATGACCCTAAAAACTTTGTCCAAACCCAATTTAAAACAGCTAGGCCAAGCTAGCCTATTGGGCTATCCGGCCCATGAAGAGGTTTATTGGTGACAGTTCTAATAGTTAGACCGTCCAAACCAATGGCGGATTGAAAACACTATATCAAGGGTCTAAAGAAGAAGGCAATGTTTTCAAAACTGGACTGGACGGTTGGACTAAAAAAACCAGGAAACGGTTCTGTTTTACCCCAAAACTGCTATTTGGTCAAAAATCATTGATTTGGTCAGCGAACCAATGACCCAGATGGTCGAACCATCAAACCTTTCGACCCCAAAACGTTTTTCTGGCTGTTTTTTGAGTTTTTTTAAATTTTTATTATTTTTTATCAGAGCAGGCCGTCCGTTTGGACCATTCAACCCGAGAACCGGACCGGGTTGAATAGTTAGACCGTCCCACAGAGGCACAGAGAGAACTTGTCGGCTCCAAGCCGCGCCGGAGCTGGTCATTTCAGACTTGAACACCAAAGTCTCTCTCTCTCTCTAAAAGCTGTCTCATAACTCATTCTGTAGTTCAAACCCATCTCTTAATTCCGTTCTGCAACTACGGTTCCTCTTGAATGACGGGCATTTTCTCATATCCAAGCTTTTAGCCGCATTCTATCAACAATTCTGTAATCTAGGCTATCTAGTTCCTATGTTGCTCTCGTAAGCTCTTTCTGTCACACTAACACAGACACTGTCTGAGTGTCTGTCACTGTTTCTCTGAGGAAGCCATGCTAGACCTCATCCAACCAGAAGATTTCAAACCCACATTCTCAATCTCTTAAAAATACATAAAAAGAGCTCCATCACTGTTTCATGGTCTCAACCAAACTCTGCAACCATGACAACCAAAGTTCATCTCCAAAGTCTCCTCCCAAATACATATAATGGGTACAGCAGCGAAAGCAGTTCAGATAGCCCACCTTCCTCCCCACGCCCTCTCTCCAAGGTTCCACATTACCGGCGACGTCTTCGTTCTAAGGGCCATTTGGGGGCGGCTGGTCATGGAACTTTCTTTGCATGCGTGCTCTCCCAGCGCAATTTTCGCATTTTCATATTGGTACCAGTGTTCTACATCTCCGGTATGATCATATTCTTAGGTACATTCTCTGTCGTCATGCGCCCCCGCTCTTGTTCTCCTTCTCCCTCTCCTCTTCTTCCTCCTCCGCAGCCGGGCTCGGTGTACCGAAGCCATGAGATTTTCCAAAACCTCTGGCCTGACATTCAATCGGATAATGCCTCTGGAATTGAGGTTGGATTTCTATCTTTCTTTATCTCCCATTTGTTTTTATTCATTTATTTTTTCCAATTCGTTGATTATACATAATGGGTTCTCTCATCTGGTCCTGATGATTGAATGTAGTTGTGCATTGGGTTATTCTGTTTTTTCCCCTTAATTGGTATGAATTGGATTATTCCGTTTCTTTAGTGTATTCAGATTCACGAATACTTCTTGATCTCTGCAATGAGTCGGTTATGAATTGAAACAGAAAAAAGAAAAAAAAATGGAGAAGAAATTCTAGTTTATTGGAGTAGGAAAGAAGAAACAATAGTGTGATTTATCTACCAAAACAGTGACACTAGACGTGCTGTTGACTTGTGAAATTCGTCATTTCATTTACTGCTGGACTTGGTACTTCAAGGTTCACATTTATAATCAAGGAAGATGAAGATAAGAGCGTGGACAATGGAGGAAAACTTCATCTGTTGAGAAAGAAGAGAACCCATTTTGCTGAAAACATCTTTTTTTTGGACGTTTTTTCGGTTTCTTCCACTGTTCATAGGCAAGTAAATTTACATGTCGGTCTCAATACTGAGAAGTTCGTAGGAATTCGGGAACTATGTAACTAATTTCTGCACCTTACCAATTGGGTGGTTCACCTGCAGTTGCACCTAATATGTGCTTTGAAGTGGGATTGAGTGGTACAGAGAATTTAACATACTCTCTCATGTGGTCATGTAACCTACCATACCAAAGTCATCGAGCTTTACAATTGCTTTCCTTAATCTGTAAGATGTTTCATACTTAAAAACATTGTTCATTCCATGGTCATCTTATTATTAGGGATATTTTATGACTGACACAATTGTTAAAAATTTGATGACTGGCAAGCAATGCCAGGATGCATCTTCAGGCTCTAGTTCTGTGACAGACATGAGGGTAAGCTTTGAAGTGGAGCTCAAATTAGAGTGATGCTCCATAGCTGTTTTTTAGCATTTTGATTTTGAGTTATATGTCTATACTAGCTATGATTTCTAAGTTATAGAATGAAAAAAAATTAAGTATTAATAATGTCCATGAGAAAATGGATGGGGTGACAACATTTTTTGAAATGGTCATATGGTGTTCTGTTAAGATTCAAAGATTCAAGAAGATAATTAAACATTGACCAATTTCTCCTTGTTTACATAAGCAGCGAGTTAGAAGAGGTCCTTCCTTTCCCCCATCCTTCAACTGAAATAAAATATCTTTATCGTCTCAATAAATCTACTAATAACTGAATGGAGCAATAGTTCTCTATGATGTTTAGTTTATTTATTCCTTGTGGAAGTAACAAAGATAGAAGAATTGGGAGAAAGATAGGTAAAGTGGAAGAGAAGGAAATGCCCACATTAAGGTGGAATTTGGTTCGTCAGTAGGTCTATTATCAACCTGAGCCCATTTATATTTTGACAAAAATCCAACCTGAGCCCATCCAAGTTGCACCTATTACTTATCACATTAGTTACCCAAACCCATTCAAATTTTGAAAAAAAAAAATCCAATCCAAGCCCTTCCAAGTTGCACCCCTGACTTATCAAAAGGTAACTTATCACATAGTTACTTATCATTAGTCATAAGCAAATTTTTTTTTTTTTTGTTTTTAACTTAACCTAATTTATTTAAGCTTACTTATTGAAGATATTTTCTAGATGGAAAACCAAGCTTACTTTTCTACTGATATCTACTGATGATCATCAATTGATATCAGTAGAAAAGTTATTTCTTTTGTGAACCAAATGCCTCCTAACTTAATTGGAAATTCTCATGTATGCTTGCTTTAATATCATACAATTATGACAAAAATAAAATGAAAAGGAATTCTTACTAAATTTTGTTGAATTTATTAAAAAATAAAATACATGCTAATAGTGGCCTACACAATGGGCTTTTTATGCCTAGAGGCGAGTTTTCTTGCATTAGAGCATCTTTTTATGAAACTATTGTTACGTGGTTTATCTATTTTGGTTGAAGAATGTAATTACCATTAAATATAATTGCTTTGACATTTACCTATATCCCCATAGTAGTTATATAATTGAACAAGTGTAATAAGCATAGACAGAATGGAAACTGGTGAACAGAATATAGTAGTTAGAGACTTCTTACAGAGAAAGTTACTGAAATTGTCTGTGCATGCATGTGTCTGTGTGGCTGCATGCACATGTACAAGAATGTTTAATGATTAACTGAGAAGTCTGTTGCTTCTTTGTAGCTGTCCTCTGTATGGAGATATAGCAAGAAGCTAAAAGAGCAGAAACCTTGTACAAATGCTACTCCTAGACAACATTCTGGTATGTACATATACTCCAACTACTGTTTACTTCTCCATTTATCTTCTTTTATCATGGGAAAATAATGTATGGTCTTTCTACTATATAATTTAGTTCTCAATTCTATAACTGCAATTTGTTATCTTTAGCAAGTTTCTCAAAAACTATAACAATCACAAAGTAAATCAAATCAATGATGGCTGCATTTTGTTGCACATAAAAATAAGGAAATCAAACAAATTTCTAGAAAATGATATTCAACCGGAAAAATTTCCTAATTTTTCTGGTGGTTGGTTTGGGAAAAAATATGAATGCTTGAGAAATACATAGGTGCTATGAAATGTAAGTTGAGAGGGATGGGAAGTAAGTGTGGATGGAACGGAAGGTTTTAAATTTATGAAGAAACTTCAGTGGATTAAAACCAATGTAAAAACTTCGAAAAAACAAGTGGTTGGCATAATTTGGGAGAAGAAACACCTACCATCACAAATTGAAGATCTGGACAAAGGAAGAAGGTAGGGATTTGTTTGGAGAAAATCTGCTTTGAAGAAAGGATGGAAATAGAATTTCAAGAAATTGAAATCTAGTGGAAGCAAAATTAAGATGCAAATGGATCAAAGAAGGTGATGGAAATACCAAATAGTACCATGCAATGGCAAATGGTAGGGAAAAGACAAACCTGAAGTCTATCCAAGATCAGTGTTTAAATTAGGAATTGTGAAGTAAGTTGATATGATGTTACTTGGAGTACTTTGAAGCTCTACCAATCAGTGTTTAAATTAGGAAATAGAAAGAGGTACTGAGTTCAATCTTGTCCCATTTGATTAGGGTGACCCTCTACTAATCAAAAACAAACAAAACAAAATGAGATCACAGTGACCTTTTGACCCTTTGAGGAGGAAGAAGTCAGAAAATCTATTTATTGGATGATTAGAGTGACTCATTGAGGGTGACCCTCCACAGGTTTTCATTGGTTTTTCGAAAGAATGCTTGGAAACAATTAAGGATGATCTAATGAAGGTTTTTGGAGAATTTCATAATAGAGGTAAATTTTGCAAAGCACTGAAGGCTACATTTATTTGCCGGATCCCAAAGAGGTCAGGAACAACTTTACCTGCTGATTTAGGCCAATAAATTTTGTAACTAGCCATTACAAAATCATTGCAAAGGTGCTGCCATTGTGACTTGTGACTAAGGAAAATTCTACATTTTATTGTTTTCCTCCTTAGGGTGCATTTTTAAAGGGAGGAAAAATTCTTGATCTGATCTTAATTGAAAATGGGGCTGTTGATGATATCAGGAAGAAAGGTTTTGCTTGCAAATTGGGTTTGTAGAAGGCTTTTGATCAGTGTAGTTGGGGTTTTCAAAGATGCATCTTGGTTAAAATGGGGTTTAAAAGGAGGTGGATAAAATAGATTATGGGTTGCATAGCCTCGGCATATTTCTCTCCTAATTAATAGATCTCCAAAAGATTTCTTAGAGCATATAGGGGTTTACAAGGAGACCTATTGTCACTAATACTTTTTGTTTTAGTAGTTGGGATTCTTATAAGACTACTGTAGAGTAGGTGTTCGGATTCTTATAAGACCTGCAGGTGACATCAGAAATTTGAAAATTATGCGACAGGTTGTACTCTTGTAGAGTAGGTGTTGGGGTTGAGGATAAACCTATCTGAATGTAACCTTGTGGGGATCATGAAAAGTTTAGAAGTAGAATATTGTGCAAGGATTCTAGTTTGTAGAGTGGAGGAATAATGACCCATTAGATGTCTTGGACGGAAAACTGGCAATCCTACAGCTGAATGCTTTTGAGATGCTGTGGTAGGGAGGCTTTTGTAAAAAATGGTGGCTTAGAAGAAAAAAAAAACTATTTTTTGTTGGGGGAAAGGGTTGTACTTATTAAATTGGGTGCATTTCCTTTCAGTTTTGAAGGTACTAATAAGAATGATTAATAAAGTAGAGAAAACCATTTGAGACTTCCTGTGGGAACCAGGTGACTCCAAAAGAATAATTACCTAGTTAACTTGAAAAGTTGTTTACTGAAGCAAGATTGATGGTGGTTTGGAGCTAGGAAGGGCGACAATAAAACTATACCTTACTTGGGAAGTAGCCATGGAAATTTTTGTCAGAATCACTTTCTCTATGGTACTCAATCATTAAAAACAAATACAGGCTCCTGCACAAAAGTTGGATAGCGACCCCATAAACAGAGTAATGTTACATAGTCCATAGAAGGCCATATCCACAATCTATCCCATTGAAAGGACCAACCCTCTGTTTGAAAAATGACCTGTAGAAAATTAGAAGGAATGTCAATTTCCCTACAACTACTACTACTTTCTGGGAAATATTTGTTTCTGATGGCCGTTTTATGTGCAATCAAACACCAAAAAAATAGCATCTTATGTGAAACTCTTTTATTTTCCTTTATTTTTTACAAGCAACCAAATGGGTCAATGAAAAAACTGTGGAATCAGAAGTACAATAATACATTCCAAGGAATAATAACAGAGATAATTATAGGTGTTTTTATTAGATAACTGACGTTCTCCATTAACTCTCAGGATCTCCTGCGCCTATTGGTTACTTGATTGTTGAGGCTAATGGTGGTCTTAATCAACAACGCACATCGGTATGTAACTATATTGGGTATGGGTGGCCATTTTGATGCTTGAGTCACCAAATTATTTGAGATACACATCTTTTTGCATGAGCTCCAAGCTGGATTTCTTTGCTCTATGTCCTTGCAAATGCACACCTATACCCTAACATTCACGACACCATATTAGTTTGAAAATGCGAGGATAAAATCAGAAAAAAGGATGTTGAACTGCCAAAGGAAAAAGGGAAAGGGGCAAGGAAAGGAGAGGAAAAAAGAAAAATGAAAAATTTCAGAAATTCTAATGCTATGCATAATGTGATGCATTTTTATATTATATCTCTGCATATGATGTTTGTTCCTCATATTTGTTAAATTGTCTGCTGGCAGATCTGCAATGCAGTCGCTGTGGCAGGGCTTTTGAATGCAATACTGGTCATCCCACAATTGAATTTCCACAGTGTTTGGAAGGATCCGAGGTGAATGAACTGTTTTTCTTCTTTTCTCATCTTGTTGGCATAATTGCATTATTGATCAATTGTGCATAGAATTTTGATGAAAATAGAGGGGATGCATAGATTCAAGTCTTTTAATCTTATATGAATATACTATGGATGAATTTATATTTTAAAGTGATGTTAAAAGATGCCTATAATATGAGAGAAGGAAGAATGGGACACAATCTTGGGTTACCTTGTTTTTTGTTTTGCTTGCAGACAACTGAATGAGATATTCAAGTATTGCAAAATGACTATGTAATGTGACAAGGAAATCTGTTTGGGGGGATGGTGTTCTAATATTATGTTTAAGTTGAACATTTTGAATACAAGCTTCAAATTTGATGCAGGTTATTACTTATTCCCTCTTCCAGTTTGTTTTATCATCCATTGTGTTTTCTTTTTACTTATGTTTTATTCTTCTACTACAAGCTTTACTCTAGATTGGGGGACATCCAATTGCAACTTCCATACAGATCTCCTTTTATACTTAGCTCAGCAATCCTTCTCCCAGCCTTCTGATTAGTTGGCAATTATACACAGGAAATGTAATTAAAGAAAGGGAAACAAACTATCAAATTGTTGTTAGATACTATTACTTTGAACATTCATGTACTAATTAACCAGATAGCATAAGAGTCCAGGGTTGGATTATATGTTGTGGCTCATTCATTCTTCTAATTTCTTTTCCACAACTTTTAGTTGTATGTTCTATGGTTGTTTATTCCTTTTATCCTTTTTTGACAAGTTCTGTAGCTAGCAAAGGAAAAAAGAACAGAGAGGCAGATACACAATACAAGTTTGGTTTTGCAGCTAATTTATTACTTGTACAACTAAAAGACCCCCTTAGAAATAAAAAAAATTATTTCATGATTAGTGAAATTCAGCCGTTCAAAATCCACTAAAATGGAATCTCGGAAAACCATAACAGTGAATTAAGGATTTCTTATGTTAATTTGGATTGTTTTAAACTTTTTTTATCAGAAAAGGTATGGATTGTTTTAAACTATTAACCAAAATTATAAAAATAAACTGAAAAGTAAAATTATTATTTTTACTTATAGTAATTGTTTCTTATGATAAATTTCATAGCTTCTTAGTAATATTATCTATGACTTTGCAGTGACTTTAGCGATATCTATGATGAGTACCACTTTGTGACTGCACTTAAAGGCCATGTGAAGGTTGTTCAGCAACTACCTGAGGTATTGATGGAAAGATATGATTACAACATCAGTAATGTCCCAAACTTCAAAGTCAAGGCTTGGTCTGAAACAAGTTATTACATGGGACAAGTTTATCCTATTTTGCAAAAGAAAGGGTATGTACTAAATCACATCTATTTTTAATTCCCTTCTGTGGCCTGGAGGTGGGATCAGTATGTTGGGTACTTCTATTACCAAGACCAAGAGGATCAACAATTGTAATATAGAATGGTGGTTTTAACTCCTTTTCATGCCTTGATATTGATATGGCCAGTCAACTCAACAAAGCCTCAATTGGATCCTCTTTTGTCATTACACTCAATCAGGTCTCAACTGATATGGTATGGTCATGGTGCTGCGCATAGACAACCAATGACTACACCATTGAGGAGTGAATTGGTACAAATAGAAGGCTCTAACAGATCAAGGAGAAGACCAAAGAAAATGTGGTCTGAAGTGGTAAAAAATGATTTAAAAGCTTAAAATTTGACAGAAAACATCACACTTAATAGAGCAAAATGGTGACTTGGTGAGACAATTCATGTAGCTGACTTGAAATGGTTTGGGTTAAGGGTGAGTTCAATTAAGCAATGTTGTAAGACTTGGATTCAACTAAAAGCTGGAATACTCAACGGGTCATGGTTTTACTGGTTAACTGGGCAGTTAGCATGTTAAACTCATGAAAATCATCATTTAAACAGGACCCAGAAAAGGTTACTAATTCCAGTTTTTCCAATCCGACTGTCTTGTCTGACCTGAGTCTTACAACACTGGAGTTGAGTATAGTTAATCAGGATGTAATTGATTACTCAATTAAGGTACATAAGAAGCTTGGTTTACAACTCCTGGGAGGACATCAGCATGGTAAAAGAGTTTCTTAGAAGATTGGAGCAGAGAGTAGTAATATATTGAATGCTATTGATCAACCACTGGATGGGACTGAGAAGTCACTGCATATTCCTAATGATGGTGAATTTATGAAAGGAAGAGGCAAGGGTCTAGGGTAAAGCATTTTGGGCTGTTCAAGAATCGGTATATATGGTCCCAAAGCACATAAAGGAGGTTCCAAGTTTTTTTTTTTTTTTGAGAGAAGGTAAGGCAATGTTGTAATAATGTGTTTATAACTCAGATTACAACTTTATTGCCTATGCCAGCCCAAAATTTGGTGTGGAATTATCCAAATAATGTGGAATAGTAAAAAAACTGATCGTGTGGGACCTTGTTGAACTGTTCTTTGACTGATATCCATGAATGCAGAGAAGCCCTTGCCTTCTGGCACAACTCATCCAAGCCCCTGCTCCTCCCTTCAAATATTCTCCTGTTCCTCTCCTTCCACAGTGCCCAAATATTGCTGAAGGTATTGTGTTCCAAAGCAATTTCCCCATCTTATTTAAACCCAGAATCTTCCAGGATTTCACCACCACAGAGAGGCTTCTAGGTTGACACCGACACATGTTCAACCTCCTGTGGAAATGATTAAATAAGGATCTAGCTACTTTACAGTAAAAAAAGAAATGGTCAGCTGACTCTGTCTCCTGGCCACACAAGAAACAATCCAAACAATCCAGGACCAAGCCTCTCCTGTCTAACTGTTCTTTCGACAGACATTTGCCCTTCACATCTGACCACATGAAAAAGATTACCTTGGTTGGGACTTGAGGAAGCCAAATGACCCTCCATGGGAAGCCCCGAGGGAGGGGGGGCTCTAGGTGGTCATATTTTATCTTTTATGCTTGTATGTGTGAGTTTGTTTTGTTTTATTTTATATTTTGTGCTTCTCATCTGTAGTGTGGTGCATATTTCTTTCTACTTTCTGTCTTATTTTGGTGGTTGATGTTTGATCTTCTGTGTGTACTTCTATCTATCTGGTTCTATCTCTAGATATCTAGGACCCCTGCACTATGTAATTTCTAATAGTAGGGTATTGATCAAGAACAAGGTACAGTACAGCATAAAGCTGGACAAAAGTAAAGAAAAACAAAAACAAAAAAAATCAGGTTTGCTGCTACTCCCTTGGTGCTTGGCTCTGGTGTCACCCTTCCCCATGGTTGACTCTCCATACCTGTCCTTCAGTTAACAAGTTGGTCAAGGCATTAGCCAATCTAGAAATCCACCAGAACATGGCTTTCAGAGTGGAGGCTAAGGCCTTTATCATCCTAATAATTAAGGGCCAATGACCCTCTTTTGAATTTGTTAAGATTGCCATACGTTACTAAATGGGGGTGTACCTTCATGGTAGATATATACAGATCCGGGTAAACTAAATGATAGGATTTCCCCTTAAAATAATTATGTCTAACAGTGAAAGTAGGCTGATGGTCCATGTCTCTTGAAAAAAATATTAGAGCACTTAAAAGATACTACAAAACCATACGGCTTTATTTATGCAGCTTCTGGTCAAAATGATCAAGTAGACACATTCTTTCATCATTCTTTCCTTTCTAGTGGAAATTTGAAGTTTATAATTTACATAAAACCTTTCTTACTGGTTTGCTTGGCTGATGTAGAGTTATCCGCATAGCACCCTTTGCAAACAGATTGGCAATGGAAGTTCCTCATAATATTCAATTTCTTAGATGCTTAGCCAATTATAAAGCATTGAGATTCTCTGTTCATATTGCAACATTAGCAAAGAAGTTGGTTAACCGTATGATCAAGAAGAGCTCAAGGACTGGTGGGAAGTATGTATCTGTTCACCTTCGTTTTGAGGAGGTATACAAACATTCCATTGATGTGTTGAATAAGTCTTGATCCTTTAAATTTATGATTATTGAGGAATTGTAATTTTTCTGGATGGACTCAGCTTGCTATTTCTTTACAATTTGTAGGACATGGTTGCATTTTCATGCTGTGTATATGATGGAGGAGAGAGTGAAAAGTTAAAAATGGATTTCATTCGTCAACAGGGGTGGAGAGGAAAGTTTACACGTGAAGGCCGTATTGACAGACCTGATCACAATCGGATCAATGGCAAATGCCCTCTGACTCCCTTGGAGGTAACTATAAGCTGTATCTTTTGTTTTTGTTTTGGATGTTAGAAAAAGTATACAGTTTTTAATTCTGTTGACTTTTTTTTCTTTTACTTTCGGAATGCAATTTAAATCTTAATCAATGTTTAGGAAACCGGACCGGATTGGACGGTTGGACCAAGGTTCAAAGTATCAACACAATACACCTGATATGGGGTGTATCCTTGCATTTTCAAACAGCCAATACACAGTGGTGTATCAATACTTTGAACCATGGATCGGACTGGTTGAACTGTGATCTTCAGTCACACCCCAAGAACTGGAATTGTTAAAAATCTGGTGAAAACTGGCTGACTGGCCATTTAACTGGAAAATTGGTGAACCGGTCCTGGTTTCATGAAACTTCCCAGGCCATTAAATAATTGAAATTTTCGAAACATGGACAAGACTTGAACCGATGACCTCTTATTTTCAAATATTGCTTAATTACCATTAATCCACTTCTTTATTTGTGTTCATTAATGACTCTTTATTGTATATATTACTTTGCTACACATATTTTAAAGAAAATGTGAATTAAGTGGCTTGAGCCTTGGTAATTTGCTTTAAAAATTAAAGAACTTTCCATCCATCCACCATATTTAAGTATGATAAAAGTTGTAAAATATATAATATATAGTATATATCACTTGTAGTATATATACATATATGCCACGTCATCACGGTTTGACCTCTGGTTTGACCCCGGTTGAACCTCTGACCTGTGAGCCTCTCCCTTTTCCAGTTCCATACCCGGTCCGTCTCTCTGAACATTGATCTAACTATCAGCTATATATAAAATAGATAAGTTTTTGGCATATGGTAGTTTTGGATAAGTCATTCCCTGGTTTCATGCACATAGATGATGCTAGCTGGGTGGAGAATTGATAATATTGTATAACACAAAAGGAAGTGTTAACATATCTATCAATAAAAGGAAGTGCTAACATATAAAAAGCTATGCAAAATATGGTTGGATATTTTCTTGAATTAGTGAACCAGTTGAATCTAGCAGTTTCATGCCAGTTTGAATTTAAGGATTTCAGACCTCTATGGATGGGGAAATCTTAAGGGTCATTTCTTGGTGAGATGGTAAAATCTTAGGATGACAAGAGTGACAGAATAGATCAAGTCTGTGCTAAAAATGCCAGAGGTCAGGTCCATACCAGTCCATTCCTCACAAGACCCTGGATAAGCTCTGGGACTAGCATTAAGTACTGGCCTTTCTTTCTACCATGCATATAACAAACCATTATGGCTGTTCTTTATTGTGATTTTCTTGACCACTTTTTTGATACTAGAGGACCATTTGATAATGGCTGGAGTGAATGACTTGTTTCTTTGTCTTTAGTGATCAAATACTTAAATAATAAAATATTTGATGGCATATTAGTTGATCCAATTTCAGCTTCGGCCATTAATGAGCGTACAACCTCCTTAAAATCTTGTTGGCTAAAAGATAAAACAATAAGTCATTTAATTCTGCCACTTCATCTGTTTATCAAATGGCCCCTAAAAGGCCATTAGCCATTGGTGGTACTACCGGCTTCTGGGGTTGTGGTAGGGGTATGCTGGATATTGACCTAGACCTTGGCTTTTTTTTTTTCTTTTTTTTTTTAATTTTTTTTTGGCGCAAAGTGGCCACTCTCAGACTCAATCCTGTGTTGCGCCCATCAAATGAGATTTTACCATTACACCATTTCTTTATTATTTAAACAACTCTAAAATAAAACCTCAGTGAGCATAAACTAAACAAGTTAACGAAGATTCCAATATTTAATGATTTGCATGTTATGGGAAAATGTGATACACTCCAAGCCCCACAAATACTTGATGATAAAACTTTTCCACTCATATAACTATTGTGAAATGTGTTTATCAGATGGTTTTACCTACTTGTTTACTTTATCATGCCACAACTTCCTTTCACATGGATTCATACATCATGTATGTTTATAACCCTCTTTCTCAAAATTTGTTACTTGTCAGGATAGGTGGGAATGATGCTGAGGGGTATGGGCTTTGATAACAATACTTCAATTTATCTGGCGTCTGGGAAGATATATGATGGGGAAAGGAATTTAGCTCCTTTACTTAAGATGTTTCCCCTTCTACAGAGCAAGGAGTCCCTTGCAACCCCAGAGGAGCTTGCTTCTTTTCAGGTAATATTTCTTTCTAGCACTATAAGACATGTCACTTTGCTAAATCTTGTCTTTATCTCCACATTTATATATTTTTTGGTTTCTTTATAGGGATTTTCTTCAAGGATGGCTGCTTTGGACTACACGGTTTGCTTATTTAGTGAAGTTTTTGTGACAACCCAAGGTGGTAACTTCCCACATCACCTGATGGGCCATAGACGGTTTTTGTATGGACATGCCAAGACCATCAGGCCAGACAAACATAAACTAGTTGTTCTGCTGCATAACACTAGTATTAGGTCATCTCTCTCTCTCTCTCTCTCTCTCTCTTGCTCTCAATATTTATCTATCTAGTGATTTTAATCTGTCTCTATATCGTTGACTTGTACAGCTGGAAAGATTTCAAAGAGCATATGGATGAAATGCTCGTGGATAGTGATCACAAGGGGATAACTGTGCCTACAACTGAAAAAGAGAGGAAACGTTCTTCCATATATGCTTATCCTTTTCCAGAGTGTAGGTGTTTGCATGGACAGCAAAATTCAAGCGTTTGGTCTGCCAAGAGCATTCCATTCTCTTAGCCACCAACTCCAAGCCATGGTCTAGGAATACAGTGCGGTCTCCCTGCTGCAGTCTACCATTCATTCCCATTTTTGACTACTACAACCCACATCAAGCCCCGCCCCACTTTTGGCACGCTTTTTAAACTGCCACCAACCATGGGTGACAAAGTCCGCAGTGCAGAGGTGGTTGAGTCACTACAGCTGTATTGATGATAAGCAGGTTTTTTGATATTGAGAATGGGGATTCCTTTTTTCTTGTTTTACTACAACATGGAGGCTGGATGGTTATGTACAGGTAGGTCCAAGAATTTGAGGGACGTCTAAGGATTGATTGAATCGTTTGTCATGTTACATGTGTGGTGGGTCCTTTATAAAACCAAAATTTGTGCAAAAAGCTTGGATGGTTTCAGGCAAAATTGGATCCAAGATGATACCCACTTAAAGCTCTTTTTGAAAGTCGTTTTCCCAATGTATCTTTTAACATCTTTTGTCTGTAACATATACTTGTGCTCAAAAACATACTTTTCAGCAATCTTCCTGAGTTTGAGTCAGTGGATGAAAAACTGGGTTTGTAGATTTATGTACTGGTCTGCTACATATATGGTATGGGTAGAGCTGTTAATGCATGAAGTGGCCTTATAACATGAATTTAGCATGGTTTCAAGAATAGTTTTGGAACTTTGCCTAAGTTAGCTTGTGTCATAAAAAACATGGATGTTTGCATTGATTACATTATCAATTATACAGGGTTCAATTACACAGCCATGAGGTCAGAAGAATCAAAAACTTTTTGATGTTCTAATTTTAGAAGTCTGATATTTTTTTTCCACTTTAGTAGTGCTTAGTTTTTATTAGACTAGGATACGATTTGATTAATGTTCTTTTGGATTAATTTGTCTATTTACAATATATAAGATTTTTGTTTCAATAAATTGTGGATATGCATCAATAGTGTACTGATTTATTAAGTTTTAAATCAAACCAGATTCAAATAGGATACCTGGATACATGAATGAATCAAATATAAATCTGTTCTCTATTACATGCCCATTGGATATTGAATCACATTTGGATGTTTTGGATTCTTAGTGGATTGGGTTCATATATGCCCCTATCTGAATTTAGTTGGATCCATTTTCATCCCTATGTTTTATATTAAGGAGCTTTTGGTCTTGCATATATATGTATTTATAGGTAGATTGGGCTTGGGTTGAGTTGGCCTCTAAAGCTGATTGGGTTGAGCTCGATCAGGGCTGGTGTAATCTGTCAACCCAAGTATACCTGCCTACCTGGTCTAACTGAAGTTTAAGGTTGCTTTTCTTATTTTTTTTCTCTTTTTTTTTTTTTTTTTTTTTTATAACTGTTGCATTGTGTCTGTGTTTACAATAATTGATCATTCAAAGTGTGTTTATTGTCTCATAATATTGTCCTCTCACACTGCTCTGATTCTATTTATTCATGTTACTTTCTTATTTTTTTTCTCTTTTTTTTTTTTTTTTTTTTTTTATAACTGGAGTTTTAGTCTTTCACAAACAGAAAACTCCGACATGAACTGTCACCAGTTCTATGTTCAGTAATGGCTACACTTACCGAGAAATTTCATTCAGCATGATACAAAGCTCCAAAAGAGACCAAAACAGGAAAAAAAAAAGCCAATACGAGACAATCAAAGTTGCAAATTATCAGGTTCCGGCCTTCCGGACATCCTCAAACAGAATGGTCCCTTGTTATACCCACCGTTGCAACTTTACAAGAGAATCAGCCAAGGCGTTAGCCTCCCTGTGAACTCAACTGAACGAGCTGTTCAACTTGGAAACTAACGCCTATGCCTGTCTTGCCAACGGCTTAAACTTCCAAGGGATTTACTAGTGTTTGGCATCGGTGCTGTGTACCGTTTTGAAACGGTGCTGGTAACACAGCACCAAGGGATTTACTGGGTGCTTATTTTTTGTTTGGAAATGGTGCTGCCACATGGGCTATTTTCTGGGAAAACAGCACTGGTTTTGTTTGGTACCAGTGCTATAGAATCGTTTTCAGCATTGGTCATATTATCCAACGTCCAATATGATGCCACATCATTGCACCGCTAGCAGCAATGGGCTATTTTCTGAGAAAACAGTGAACTTGACGTTTCTTCAGACCACACTTTCTCAATTTCCAAGATATGGTCTGAAGCAACGTTTTTTTCTGGAAAAACGGTACCAAATAAGAGGCCATTTTTTGAAGCACCGCCTTTTCTGATGTGGTGCCTATGTGGTGCTGTTTTCTGAGAAAACGGCATCAATGCCAAACACTGCCTTAAACTTTCAAGGGATCTCTTCAAGAGAACTTATTCAGCAGATTATGGTTTTGCAACTCCGTTTACCTCCATGTCCCTCATTCCCTGCATATTCATGAACTTTAAACCTTGAATCATAGCTTGCAGTTCAGCCCTCAAAAACTATATTCCATGGCGGCCCCTAACCATGCCCTCAATACCAGACTCCCCCGCGTTACCAAGGCAATGTCCATCAAAGTTGAGCTTTGACCTGCCGGGAGTCGGGGCAATCCAACCAGCCGTCCTTTGCCATCTTGTGGCCTGAAAATCAGCAACAGCTTGCCGCCCACTTAACAAGTCATTAGCTGAAACAATCACAAATCAAAACCCAATGAACTACTCTTATTTTTATCGTTTCAGTCTGAGCCATCCTTGCCTTCTCTTCAAAGTTTGGTGCATTTCTTTCATTCCACAACCGGCAAAAGACAACCCCAAAAACACATTGCCAAAGAATTCACTGAACCACTCATCATGTTTTTAGTGAACAAGTCTGATATGTCATTTGGAGCCGCTCAATCACTTCCAACCAGGGAGAGAATTTTCCCACACCTGAGCACCGGAAGATGGTTGATGTTTTCCCCATTTTTGGGCAAAGAATGCATACATGAGGGGAGAGATACCAGTTTTTCCACTTCTTGTTATCACGAATCCAGCACTTAATTGACAGCTTTCCAACAGAAAACCTTTACTTTAGGGCGAATGGGACTGCTCTAAAGTTCTTTAGCTAGGACAGGATTTTCACTAGAAGGTTGATGAAGGATTTGAAGACGAGAAACAACCACTAATATTTGGTACCCAAGCTCTCTCATCAACTCCCGTCCGGAATAAAATCACCTTTTGGAAACAATTCTAACTCCTGACCACAATCCAGCTTAATCCAGCTTCCTTCATGCCAGTTTCTCTGATAAGTTCTCTAAGTTTTGTTGAATCAGTCCACATTCCCAAACTGGCATAAATATTTGACAGTGTCACATAGATTGATGGGTTTTGTGGTGACACTGCAAAAAGATTTTGGGCAATGCGAATGGCAAGTTCAATGTTATTGTGAATTCCACAGGCTCCAAGCAAAGAGAGCCATATGGTCTCATTGGGTTCATATGGCATAACAGCAATCAACTTCTCTGCCTCTTCAAAACACCCAGCTCTACCAAGAAGGTCAACCATGCAACAGTAATGCTCAATACGTGGTTTGAGCCCATGCTTTGATTCCATGGCTTTCAAAAAGATCCAAGCTTCCCTAGTCAAACCAACATTCTTACATGCAGAAAGAACACCTAGAAAAGTGATTTCATTCGGTTCAACTCCTGATTTTAGCATCTCTTGGAATAACCTTATTGCTTCTGTTGCTCTTCCATTCTGTGCACACCCAACAATGATTTCAGTCCAACAAATGGTGTCTCTCCTGGAAACGTCATTAAATAAAGTCAATCCAGCCTCAATATCACCACATTTTGTGTACATATGAATCAGAGAGGTGATTATTACCTCCTCCATTTCATATGCGCTCTTAACACAGTAAGCATGAACCTGTTTTCCAGCTTCAAGCGCCACAATGTTACAACAGGCTTTAAGAACACTTGAAAGAACAAATTGATCTACTTCAAAATCCAAGTAAACCATATCTTTGAACAGAGAAAACACTAACAAGTTTAATCCTTTTTTAACACAACATGCAATCAAACTAGACCAGGAAATTATATCCTTCCTGGTTAGCTTCTGAAACAATTTTAGTGCATCCTTTATGTTCCCATTTTCTGCATAGAAATCTGTAAGCACACTTCCAACAACATAATCTGATTCATATCCGCTGGTTATAATTATACCATGGAGTTGAAGCCCAAGCTTCAAATCAAACAGGTTAACACTGACTTTTAAACTACTGCTGAAAGTGTAGGAGTCGAGAGGTAAACCTAAGCTATGGATTTGAGAGACTAGGTCAAGAGCAGCAACATTGTATTTATTAACAGCATACCCAGAAAGCATAGAATTATAAAGCGACAACTTATCATGAACAGACCCTTGGTACCTTGGATATTGATCAAACCACTTTATTGCTTCACCAATTGCACTACACTTAGAATACATATCAATAAGAGCTGACCCAGTAAAGCAGCTTAATTCAAAACCAGACTTAACCACACAGCAATGAATCTGTTTACCCACTGTAAGCAAACTGAGACAACCACAGGTGTTCAAAGCACATGAAAATGTGAATTGATCAAGTTTAAAGCCTTCTCTGTGCATCATTGCTAGAAATTTTAACGTTTCTGGACTCTCTTTATGGGCAAAGCCTGAAATAATGGTGTTCCATGTGACAGTGTCAGGTTTGGGCATTTTATGAAATAGATTAACTGCTTCTTCCATCTGAGCTTCCTTCAAATACCCTGCGATGATTGTATTCCATGAATTTGAATTTGGTAGAAAATCCTCATCAAACACCTTCCTAGCATTACTCAAACTCCCGCACTTAACATACATGTCAAGAACAGTGTTCATCAAAACTGTATCAGATTGCAATTTATCTCCGGATATACTTCTGTGTATTGACTTGCCCAGTTCAAGATTCCCTGACAAAGCACACGCTTTAAGTGCTGCAGAATATGTAAAGCAATTCGGTTGTTCTGATCCTGACTCTGACATCAAGTTAAATATCCTTAAACCGTCAACAGGACTTCCTGCAATAGTATACCCAGAGATCATGGTGGTCCAAGTAACAACATTCCTTACAGGCATTTCCCCAAACAAATTTTCTGCATCCCCCATGGAAGTGAAATCTACATACATGGCAATCAAATTATTTGCAACAAAAACATCCCTCCAGAACCCGTATTTTATCAACTGGCAATGCAACGCCTTGCCGTTTTTGAAAGCTTGAATGCGGCCACAATGGCGTAAAGCTCCTACTATCGTATTCAAGTCCATAATTACCGCAGCGACCAAAAAGAATTCAAAATGAATGATCAAATGGCATTTCGAAGTTCTCATCGCATAAGTCTTTAATCCTGGGCAAACCCATCAAACGATATCGAGACATCAACCCCATATCATCAAAGACCGAAGAAAGTTCACCCTGTTCCATCAAAATCCGGTAGTTCGTTCAGAAACATCTGTACTACTACTACTTTCTCCTTTCTTCCTACTGCGGACATATTGGCCGTTATACACGGTTTAAGTACTTGAAACCTGCACGTGTTGCTCTGTGGTAGCTATGTTGGGTTCGGTCAGACAGCAGCTCTCAACGTTGCAAATTTGTTGGGGCCTTTTGGGCCCACGTGGTTCTTTCACTGATCACTGTCCTCGATTTTCGCAACTTGTAATCCGGATTTATTATTCACAGAGCAGAGCGCACGCACCTCACACCGACATCACAATACGTCCCACCGTGTATTGTGAATATCTCTATGAAAAACAATACACAAATACCGGAGATGTTCTCAATGTGCGGCTGAGACGTATTGTAAGATTGGTGTGAGGAGCCCTGTGTGAGGAAGAGATCCGAACTTTGATTGTTGGATCATTGCGAGTGGTCTGAGACAGAAGTAAATGGGTCGTCTAGAGAAAAAGGCCAGATTTTTTGCTCACAAACCTGAGTGGTGGTTTGGTTGGCAGGTTAGCTGGGTAGGGCTGTCAACGCGTCGGGTCTCGGCCGGTATCAGCTGGAACCGACCCGATAGGAAATACTGAGGACCCACTGAACCAATTTTTAGACCCAAAAGGGCCAGAACCAAACTGATTGGTTCTCGAGATAATCGGATCTAACCCTATAATAAATAAATAAATATGTTTAGTATATATTATATGCATATTATATATATAATTTATTTATTTAATATATATATATTATGAATATAGCTCGGGTCGGGTCTGAATCGATTTGAGATTAGGTGGAACCGGTTGTGAACCAATAATAATTAAGACTCTATATCAGGACCCGGAACTAACTTGTCGATCCAATTCTTGGAACTAGAATTGGCCCAGGTCGGATCCGACCCATTGACAACCATATAGTTGGGTACCAGTAGAGGCACGGATTTGAGTCGTGCTATTACCACCTAAACCTCACATATTATCAAGAATAAAATAAAATATTTAATATATAAATTAATAAATATTGAAAATAATATATAAATGGATTTCACTTGAAATTTACCTATTACTATTATTTTTTTAAAAGAGGAAATTTTGAGTAAGATCCATATATAATTTCAATTTTCAAGTAGAACTTATATATTATATTCAATATTTATTAATTTATACATTAAACTTTTTATTTATTTTTCTTGATAACGTGTGAGGTTTAAGATATTATAATTTCAGTGAACTCACTTGTAATTTTTCAGTTTGTTGGTTTGAGTTAAATAATACCACATCAATATTTCTTATTATTTTATAGTCATTTTTAGTTAATTATACATATGATATTTTGATTTTTAGTTTAGGCATATATATTTCGATGTCCGAGTAAAATCGGAGTTCAGTTTAGGCATATATATAACTTAAAAAGCAAAAGGCTGTACCATGCCAATTGCTATGCATTTGCCAAATGGAATCATTTTTTATATAACCTAAATAAAATCTTATAATCTTACAATATTTCTCTTTTCATGTTTTTAACCATTACAATTATAAACTTAATTAATTACAATGATATCATTGAATAAAATAAAAAAACAATCATATTTTGTCCTTTCTCCTTTTCCTCTTTCATATTTGATACTAAAAATGTAATTATTTACAATGACGTCGTTGCTAACTATTTATAATGATGCCATTAAATTTCTACCTTTTTCATATTGTTAAAAATTGTCTTTATCTCTCATTTTATTTACAATAGGGTCGTGTTGGGCATGTTGTGTGGCCCATGCTTCCTTTCCCTGGGATACTTTAAGGGGTTGACCCAGCACAGCCCTTGGCTTGAGCCCGTGTAGACTTATGTTGTGTTGCGGGCTAGGCTGGTCCATGAGCCAAGTCTTAGGCAAGGCAGAGCCACGAATCGGGCTAATCCATGTTTTCTAAAAATTTTGAAAAAAATAATGAAAAGGTTAACATAAATTAGAAAATAGATAAAAAATTAAAAAAATCTTAAAATTTTATTTTATATGAATTTTGATGTATACGATTATTTATATATGCAATAATAAAATGAAATAGTATAATAAAAATGAAAATAAAATTATATATTATATAATTATTGTATATAATATACGACTTGAGCCCGCGTAGGCCTGTGCCGTGCTGCAGGCCAAGTCTTAAGCCAGGCCAGGCCACGAATCGGGCTAAGCCATGCTTTTTAAAAATTTTGAAAAAAATAATGAAAAGTTTAACTTAAATTAAAATAAATAGACAAAAAATTAAAAAAAGATCTTAAAACTTTATTTTATATGAATTTTGATGTATACAATTGAAAATAAAATTATATATTATATAATTATTATTGAGCCACGAACCGGGCTAAGACATGTTTTTATAAATTAAAAAATAGATAAAAAATTTAGATCTTAAAATTTTATTTTATAAGAATTTTAACGTGTACAATTGTTTATGTATGCAATAATAAACTGAAATAATATAATGAAATTGAAAATAAAATTATATATATTAATATATTATATAATTATTGTATATAATATATGGCCTGAGCCTACATAGGCCAAACTGGTCCGCGGGCCAAGTCTTAGGCCAAGCTGAGCCACAAATTGGGCTAAGCCATGTTTTTTTTTTAAATTAAAAAAGATCTTAAAATTTTATTTTATCCTGAGCCCATGTTGTGCAATGGGTCGGGATGGTCCACAAGCCAAGTTTTAGGCCAAGCCGAGCTACGAATTGGGTTAAGCCTATTCATGGGCTTGATAGCCCAGTAGTTTAGCCTAATCCATTAACAACACTAAATTAATTAATTAAATAATTTGAGATAACCTTTACCAATCTTGTGTTGATAATACATAAAATTTTATTTATTTGTTTACTTATTTTACTAAATTATTTAATTAGTTAATAATTTAATAATCTAACAAATTAATATTTCTAACAAAGTAAGACATAGAATCATGTGTATATGTATATACATATTTACTCTCTCACTTGATTGTCTATTTATCTCATTTATTTTATAAATTTATTTATTTATTAAATTAAATTAATTATTATTTAACTATTTACGATTATTCCACTATATAAAACAGAAGTACAATGACAAAAGTCATCTCTCTCTCTCTCTCTTTTACTCTATTGCCCGATGGCCGTGATTATTTATTTATTGTTTTATTTTATTAAATTAAATATATCATTATCCATAAATATTTATTTATTTTAAATAGATATTGTTTGCAATAAACTTTTAATTAAAAATTTACCTTTTGCAAATTGTTTTCCTATATAATAATTTACCTTTGACAAGCCACTTACCATCATGTTTTGCCCCTACAACGTAGGCCCCTCAACTAGATTGATTTAATCCGTTTGCAGCCATAGGGGACAAAGGGTGGACAGAGATGTGGAAGACAAGAATGGAAAATCATCACCATCATCATCTTCTTCTTCTAAGCCTTATTCCAGCTATGGGTGTTGGCTATATGAATCCTGTTTTGCAATTTTCATTCTGTTTAGTGTCATATCTCTTGTAAATTACAAATGCTTAAATCATTTCTTACTACTTCAATCTGTCTTATTGTCCTTTTTTGGTCTAACCCTATCTCTACTAGTCCCTTTAACTTGTAACAGATCTACTTCCTTAAATGTTCTATGCACAAGAAAAAACTATCCTAACCCATGTTCTCTTATTTTATCATCTATTTAAGCTACTTCCTAGATTCTTTCTTACCCTATTCAGGATAGGAATGGAATCTGAAAATGAATAATCAATTAAACAAAGACATAATTGAAAACAAAAAATAATTAAGGGTTTTATGTGAAAATAATTAAGGCTGTATTTGGTTTGAAGGAAAGGTAGGGAAACCAATACAAAAGTTTGAATGGAGGAAGAAACTCTCCTTTTTATAAGGTAATAGATATAGTCCTGTACAACCATGAAAATGATACAATTAAGTAGGTCTGGACTTTTGGGTGAAGTCTGTTATCTCTAATTGTCCTTGACCATCAATTGCCTTGCTTAGATCAGCAGACCCAGCTTTATCACTCTCAAATGGTAATATAACCACAGGAGCTGCAGGTACACTATCCCAACGTTCCTTCAAGAAGCTTGAGAACCTTATAACCATTTCTCTACGAAACCCAAGCTCCCGTGTGAACAGATCAAGAAGTAAAAATGCAAGGACGAAGCGGAAAGGAACAACAAGGAGAATAAATGCAACAGCCAACAGTACCAGAGAAACCTCAGCTGTTATCTGCAAGTAAGTTGGGCTGAACACCATAAGCAGATAATTTAAATATATATAAAACAAGTTATCTACACAGAGAGCATTGAAATAACATAAAGTGTATGAATTTCAGTTCGTTGAGAGCAATATTAATAAGTTGCAACCCATCTTCTGATTTTCTAATTTCTGCAATTATGGGGAAAAAACAAGTTATCTACACAGAGAGCATTGAAATAACATAAAGTGTATAAATTTCAGTTCGTTGAGAGCAATATTAATAAGTTGCAACCCATCTTCTGATTTTCTAATTTCTGCAATTATGGGGAAATCTAGTCAGTATATTATACATGTAATTTGTTGAGAATTAAAAACAAACCTGCTAATAGATAGTTACAACCAGTAAGAGATATGGTTCATTATAAGAAGGCCACTAGACAATGTTGGTCCTGGCTATCTGAGATCTTGGCAGGGGTAAGAACACAGACCTAACCTTGGCAATTTGTTGCACAAAGTGGCTGCTACTGGACTTGAACCCATATTCTCGTGTTTGTCAGCCTAGTCATGATGAAAGAAACTTTTGTAAATTCAGGTAGGTAGAGAAGCATCCGGCTATGGTTGGCAACATTCAAAGGACAAGACCAAGGAATATATAATATATAGAAGGTCTAGCATCCCTATGTGTTACACATTATATTGAAGCCCAAAATAAATGCAACCAGGCGTGCAACTTGGCCAGGCCCAACCCGAGCCTGAAATTTTACACAGGCTGGTCTTGGATTTTCGGTCCTTGGGCTGGGCTCAAGGTAGCCCGAACCTGGCCCAAGCCTGGCCCAACTATATACATTCACACACACACACACACACACACACACACACACACACACACATATATATATATATATATATATATATATACATTTGTATACATATTTAAATATATACATACATATTTTGCATACATATTTACATGTATACATAAATATATGTATACATATTTACATATATATGTATAATTTTAGAGTGAGTTCATTGACCAACTCGAGCCCAGTCCAGGCCTGAGCCCAACCCGAGTGCATCAAATTACAGTGCGGGCTGGGCTTGGGTTGGGAAGGTTGGGCTTGACCTCGGGCTCGGGCCTTAAGCCCAAATTTTAGGTTCAGGCTTGGGTTGGCTATAAACCCAGCCCAACCCACCCGACTTGCACCCCTAAATGAAACTCATTGACCCCTTGTTGCTTTCACTTCTCTTGCTATTTGCTTCCCTTTGCACCCACTGGAATGTTGTTTTGACTTCTCTTGCTAGTTTCTTGTCTTCCTAACAAGCTGTCTATGAGTCTATATGCCTGATTGTTGTTTAGCCAGACAACTACCAACTTTGAGTCCTCTTCAACGACAATTTTCTTGAAATTAGTTGTCTTAGCTATTTTCATTCCTTTCTTAACTGCTAGTAGTTTTCCCTTGCTGAGTTCCTATAGCCAATTGGTCCCAAGTAGAGTGCTAGAATTTCTCCACTATTTCTCCTAAGGACTCCACATCTGCTGAAGGTCTTCGGTTACCACCTGAACTTCCATCAAAATTCAACTTTATAGACCCAATGTTCCGGGGATTCCATTATTGGATATGAATGACATCCTAGCTGTAGATGAATCAAGAACCATTTTCAATCCAATGTGAAAAGGGCTAAACACTTCCTTAGTCTTGACCCAGTTTGCTACTTTATCATAGTATACTCTCTATTATTCCCTCTTTTTTTGTTTCCCTTTGAAGGTTTTTGAGTTCCTTTCTTTTCATATAGCTCAAATGACAGCTACTCTTGTGCATTTCCATAAAACACTCCCTATTTTCTGAGACAGCAAGAGGTAGTTTTGATTGAAGAGGCTGGCCAAATATAATGGGGGTATTATGTGCCTTAGGAGAACTCACCCCTAAAAGCTAGCTGTTAGAGGGAGGGAACCCAAGCACATATATACCCCACAACAGCATCCCATACTACCGATGTGGGATATCTCACATTAGCATCCCATACTACCAACATGGGACAAATGGATCGTAACAGGGGGCTCATATAAAGCCAACAATATTAGAGAACTCTCAAATAGTGGAGGCAAATAAATAGGAGATTGGTAAGTGATGAGCTATTTCACCACTAGCATCACAAACAAGACATGTATGGGAGAAAGACACCAGTTAGATCTGTTTTTGAAGTGCATCACAAGTATTGATACTCCTAAGGAGAACCTCCACGTGTCAGATGCCAACAATTTTAAGAAGCAATTCTGCACTTGTCAAATATCAACCTCCACTTGAAGGATTGAGAGAGAGAGAGAGAGAGAGAGCCCAGAATCAGTCATGAGATATTGGAATCACTCTAGGGCATTGGAATCACATCCTTACGTATTTATAGTCTGTAGACTCATAAGAATACTAGTAAGACACAAAAACAGACGATTACTGAATCGCCGCTAAAGTATTTCAATTTGAAGAAAACTTGATAACTCAAACTACTTATTCTATGACTCTGAAAGACTGAAACTTTAAACTTTGACATATCAAACTACTAGACAGGATCCCAAGGACAGTGTATAAAATAACTAAAACACCCTTATTATTTAAAAATACATAAAATATAAAAGATCCAATCTTGGCCTTTTTTGCCCTTGCATTACCCTTATGTATGTGGATGTGCAATCTACTGTTGAACCTTTTCTTTTTGCTTTTTCGGTGGTTGTGATAGCATTTTTATTCTCAGAAATGAAATATATCAAAAACAAAAGCAGATAAGAGAACAAGACAACTAAAAGGATGAGCCGATGAGGAAATGCACAACTGGCATGCAAAAACCCCAAATTAAAAAAAAAAGGAAAAATGAAAGAAATAAAGGAAATCTAACATGGTTGTCATGGCTTTTCTCATCAGAAGAATGAGTTAAAAGACCAACTCTAACATTTCTATATGTACTTTCATGATCAGTACAAGTGTGAAGTTAGATCTGTATGCAGTCAACCCCTCCCAAGGTTCCAAATATTCGGGACCAACATTGGATAATGGCCTTCTATGGTTTTCATTTACATGAAGAGCTTTTCTAGAAGGATTTGTAACAAGGTTCCTAATACTTTGTAGGCCTTATTTATAAGATGAGTAATTCATCTATAAATTAGTCAGTTTTTCATAATTCTAACAAATTCTCTCATTTTGGTTCACATTTTCTGTTGAAATAAAGAGATTTCATGTGCATCATATATTTCTGTTATTATGGCCAAGACACAATTATATATTGATTATATCCAGCTGAGTCTAGAGGATCAGTATCTGGGCTTGGTGAATACATTGACAGCCATACAAGGGAAGGTATCAGTACAGTTAAATATCCTACAGATTATATTTGAAAATATATGTCTAACCCAGAAAAAAAGAATTGTGAACATATGCAACTGGGGGAAACTCATTCTTATTCAATAAGATTTCAGAACAAACACGGTTATCATTTTATGCCTGCATTCTATATCATACTCTAGTATCCAAGTTCTTTAATGCAGAACTTGTAGCAACTTTAAACCATCATTGGAAAACAATGACTATATCAATAATATCATCATCTTCCAATTAAACGAATACACCTGACAAGCATCTAATGATCATTGTTTGCACTTCACCCTAACTACCATATATGATCCCATAAATTTTCTTATGGCAAGCATTCAATTGTCCGGAAAACACACCTGGGGTTGACCTGGCAGAAAAATTGTACGAATTTTTAGAAGTGCAACATTCAGATTCTGCAGGTAATTTTCTAAGTCAATCATTGCCTCTTTCAAAGCTATGATCTTTTGAATTGTACTTGAAGGTGGCTGATCATGTATTATAATTTTCCCGAAAGATCTTCCTAGACGACCTTGCTCTTTAAGCTCCTTTAACAACAGCATGACAGCTGCTAGAATCATCAATGCAACAGGAAATGCATATGAAAGCAGGTTTCTGGAGGGAAAAAAAAAAAGAAAACAGAATATATATGTCAGGGCTTTTTTTTTGTGCAAAGGGAGGGAAGTGCCATCACCATAAAAAGTATGCCTACAAAAACAAAATTAGAAAGAGGAAATACTTGTGGAATTCTTATTACAACATCAACTTTTGATATAATTATCAAAAAGGTGGGAGTAAATTATTTCTATAGGCAATTGAGTAATCAAATCTTTTGTAAGGACGCACAAAATAGAGGAGAAAAAAGTTACTTTACACAATATATCATATGTACAACGAAAACAGTGTTCCAACAAAATAGACCATCAATCTTGCCACTATTACCAGTGTTAACTATAGCTGGTTGACCTACTACTTTGTTATGTCCCATTTCAACTGCATCCATCACTAGTTAGTTGATACACATGATGCAATAACTTTGGAGGACTAAGCATCGAACAGGTCGATAACAACAGCAACTTATTTTATTTATCTGTAACTACTTAAAATAATAATATATGTTTTTGATATATGTAAACAGTAACTGTTTTAGGAAAAGTACTTGAAACTGATGTAGGACAGAAAAGAGAACATCCGTGCTTGCATTGAGAATACAAAAAGATAACAGAAGAGCTTCACCCATTTGTGGATGTATCTCTACTAATATACTTACATATGACACTGATATACAATATATTCACCTCCTACTTTCTTTTGACCACCCCTTCAAGGAAAGAAAAAACAAAAAACAAATAAAGCAAAGATATGCATATAGTGCCTCGCTAAAACGTCTCTTTTCCCATTGCCATCTAATCATTTGGATACCTTTGAACAAATCCAATCCACAATGAAGAAAGATATGTACAAGTTGTATGGGTTGGGCTAGATTTTGCTTCACTTTTTTATTGGGGTTTCATTCTTTCCACAAGCCCCAATGAACTATATATGCCTTATTGCCTTTATGCTGTTAAACACACATAGGTTTGTTAAGTGTTTGCAGTGACATGTGGTTGGTTCAGGAGTATATAAAGTAGAAAGCTATAACCTAATTATTGTCCTAGATATCTGGGGCTTTGGGAGGGGTGGACAGGATAGAGACTAACTCTATGGCATTTTTTTTTTGCACAAAGTGGTATCTCTCAGACTCAAACCCATTTCTCATGTTTAACAGCCTGAGATTTTATAATTGAAACAAGAATAAAGTTCATGTGGTGTATTTCAGAGCAATAGTTGTCAAGGCGACGCCTAGGTGACAATGCGCCCTTTGAGGCACACCTCGCCTAATCACCAAGCAGTTTTGTACTATGTGTTGTAAAATACTTTTTTATTCTTTATTTTTTGACATTATAATTATAAAATAGGCACTATTTAACTAAAATATTCATTTTGTGTGTTTATATACTAATTTCATTTTATTATTTTTTTATTTGTTAGGGTTTAATCAATACAAACATTGCTAAATGCTGTATTGAACCCTCAAAGACTTTAAAACCTGAACCAATAAGTAGGGAAGAACTTAAAATTTTGTCTAATGAACACATTTTCTACTACTACTACTACTTTTTCTTTTCTTCTTTTCCTATAACAAAAATGAGGGTTCAGCCCCTACATTTTTTGAATTTTCTTTTCCTTCTTCTTTTTCTTCTCATGAATATGTTGATTTTCTATACTTTAACATGAACCCTATACTTTTCTTATGAAAATTATGAATAATTATTAAGGAAATATGGCTATGGTACTTAGGGAACTACCCTAGGATCTATTTTTTCTACATAAAAAAATCCATCGCCTAGGTGACTAGGCAATGCCTAGGTGCCTGCCTAGGCGACTAGGCAACAAGGTGCCTCCCTGACGCCCAGCCTTGTCTTGGCGCCTTGAAAACTATGCTTCAGAGAAGTTACTACAAAACGGGCACCACATCCTCCATGTGTGTGTGTGTAAGAACAAAGACTGTTTCTGCTCTTAACTTTGGATGGACAGAAAAGCCAAGTTCTTGGAGCCAAAAAGTAGAACCCACGCATCATATCTAGGCAATAAAATCATACCTGAAACATAAAAAGAAAAAACACCCAGCAAAAATAAACAACAGATTTACTAGATTTTAGGGGTGCTCATAAAAAATTGAAAAACCGAACTGGACCAATGAGACCAAACAAAAAAAAAGGTCCAGTCAACCAAACTGACTGGTATATATATATATATATATATATATAGATAGATAGATAGATAGATAGATAGATAGATAGATAGATAGATAGATAGATAGATAGAGAGAGATATTATATAAATTTTTCATGTATATTATATATGTTTTCCATATATATTAATATATAAATTTAGAATATATAATATTTTGTATATTATTTATAATATAATATATTACATATATTTATAGTATTTATATTATGTATTTATGCATTTATAATATATATTATAAATTAAAAAGCTGAAAAACCGAAGAACTGAACCAGTCAAAAATCAAACTGATCAACCAGTTACCAATCAGTTCGGTTTGGAAAAAAACACCAACGGTTCAGTTAACAGAACTGTGAGCACCCCTACCAGATTTATGCAGTTCAGCACTAAGGTGTAACTCCACAGGAGAGAGAAAATCACGAATCACTATGAAAAATAGTACAATAGATATGGGAATTAAAACCACAAACCTTCTAAGCTGCATAGTCTATATCTCTCTTTTCTCACCAAATCAGAAAACAATAATGGCTGAAATAAGTCCCATACCAATTGGCTTCTCTGACAATCGATATACGAGTTGGCATAAATAAGCCACAAGATTGGGAAGAACGCTAGAATCTTCAACAACAAACAAGAGGTGAACATTATTATTGATCTGATTGCTCTCAAGGCGGCTCTTTAGATATATAGAAGTGACATAGGACCAGCTAAATTCCAGTCCTTCGATAATGTTGAACCATCTTCTCTGTTTATTGTTCCAAACTCATGTTCCTACCTATTTTTGGGGCGATGTTGTCAAGGCAATTGTGTATCTCATTAACTGGCTTCAATCAAGGGTCCTTAACCTTTGGTCTCCTCCTCATCAACTTCTCCTCCCTAATTAACCTCTCTTATTTACCCATCTTTGGTTGTGTTTGTTTTGTTCATGATGAGTCATCCTTGGCACAAATTTGATCCTAAATCAATCAAATGTGTATTCCATGGTTACTCTCCTGTCTAGAAAGGTTACATATGTTTTGATCCTCTCTTTGGAAAGAGACATGTTTCTAAAATGTTACATTTTTGGAGTCCTCTTTTTTGTAGTCATCACGTCCTCTTCAGGGGGAGAATGCAAGTGAAGATTGAACTTCCTTTTGTCTTCCTATTCTTGTCCCTATATCTCCTCCTCCTCCTTCCTCTCATCCTTGTACCGATGGTATTCCTTCTCGTCTTGTGTATCCACCTTGGTCCTGGCAGTAGTTCTTCATAGGTGCAATAAAAGGGTGGCTCCTAAAGCTGAATGCCCATCACAATCTGATCTTTTGGACTTGGGTAATCTTGAACTCCCTAATAATTTTGTTACTGATCCTAACCTTGATCTTCCTATTGCCATCTGAAAGGGAAAGAGAACATGCAACAAGTATCTCATTACTAACTATGTGTCTTATGATGCTCTCTCACCTTCCTATTATGCTTATATTTCTGCCATTTCTTTTATTTCCATCCCTCGTAGTGTTGCAAAGGCAATGTGGTCCCCACACTAAAAGGAAGCTATAGACCAAGAGATGAAGGCCCTAATAAAGAACCAAACTTGGGATGTTGTTTCTTGTCCCAAGGATAAGAATAGGGTGCGAGTGGATTTACACCATTAAGCACAAGGAAGATGGTTCAATTAAGAGGTATAAGACTCGGCTTATGGCCAAAGGATACACTCAGACCTATGGCATTGATTATCTAGAAACCTTTCCTCCAGTTGCTAAAATGAACTTATTTGGATGATCAGGTCTCTTGCTACCCACTACTCTTGGCCTTTATTGTCGGCAAGATATGATTTGCGGCAAATTAAGAAAGATATGATGCTGCAAATTTAGAAAGATTTGATTTGATTGATTACAGATTTGAATAAATTTAGGAACAATTAGATTTGAATAAAATTAGGAAAGTCATATCCTAGGATTAAGGGAAAGATTTAATCAATCCCTAATTGA